AGCATAACGCCAATAGACTTAATTTCTGTATTAGCGTATACAAACTTCAAAATTAAAATATCGTACAAGAGATGTGCATGTGAGCCCATTCTTTCAGGTTAGGTGATTGAAGAACAGCTCCTCATTTCTCGATTTTTGGAAATAGATATTTGGAGGTTTAAAGCAATCATTTCGAGATCTGCACATCCATCGTCTTCAAATGGGTCCACATCTTCACTAAGTGAACCCCCAGCCAGCTGTTCAAGTTGCTGGTTTACGTCAATTCCGAGTGAGACGAGCGTGTCGTTACCAAGAAGAAAATCGGTCTCTTCACCCTCCATAACCAAACAGGTCACGTCAGGTAGCTTCACAGTACCCGCTGCCGTTTGCAGCACGACATCCACCGTAACAGAGTCAAAACAGGTAACTGTAGAACCTCCAGCAACGATAGCCTCAATTGGAGAGGGTAGGACATGCATCTCCACACCGCTACCAAGTGCAACTAACTCGTCGACCACTGCACGAGGGATAACAGTTGAGTCAGATCCTGAGTCAGCACAATACGGCAAGACCACGAGCTCGTTGATCATCACTTCTTCTGGTTGAGGCAAAGTCCGAACCACCTTTACTCGTGACCGGTCCTTTATTTCCTTCATCTTGTCGACAGCACGTCTCTTGTCGTCATCCGTCGCTGTCGGACAGTCACGAAGCCAATGCGAGCCTTGACAGACCCAGCAGCCAGTCTTGGGTGGCTTTGACTCCTTTCTCTGGGGTTGAGACCCAGTATTAGTCGTTGGTGAACTCCGCTGAGTGCCGTCTCTACGGGCTTCCACAGCAGTATGCTGTTCTCCACTACCGGTTTTAGTCTTCGTTTCATTATGGCTAGACCTTCGGTTAGGTCCAGATTTGGACCTGTGCTCCATCGACAGTAAGTGATACTTGTGCTGAGCCCGTGCCTTCTCTTTAATGATGTTAAAGAGCATGAAATCGTTTCTCTTCGCCTCTCTGCACTCATACTTGCAATGTCGCTTGACATCATCACGTACCATACGAGGCTCAAGGTTGTCGATCAAGATGGTGCATCGTAACTTCATACGATCAGCAAAACCCTCTGCATCTGGGTCTCCGACACCAAGTATTTTTCCTAAACCATGGTTCTCAATAATGGAGGAGAAATCACGGTAGTAGCGTAGTACACGAGCATCGATATCATCTTCTGCCAAGTCGATCTTCAGCTTCTTCTTGAACAACTCGTCCAAGTCGGGGATCTGCTCGTTCTTTACAGTACCAATGCGCTGCTTAATCAGCATGAGGAGCTCCTCACTGCTGACGTTATCCACAGCCTTCCGTAACTCGTAGAGGCATACCACCTCCAGCAACTTCCGGTCGATTGAGGATTTTACTGGTTTCATCACGGTCTCGGGTCGTTCACGACTCTCAAAACAGCGTTGCCGAATAGTTTCCTCGTACTGGTCACGTGCTTGGTTCCATTTGACCAATGCATCATGACTCCAGTCGTTCAACCACGGCGCCTTGACGAACTCGAATACCGGTTGATTTACAGACTTCATCACTGTGTCCCCATCAGCTTCGTACTGATGTGACTTGGTTGCCATGCTTGCGGTCCCTTAGGACTAAAGTATACTTTGTGGTAGTTACCGCTTTGCGTTGCTGAAATGCTGGTGCTTGTTGATTGCAAGTTAAGAAGTGAGCTTCCTTTTGACTAACTCCTGCTCCTGCGTTCTACTCGACTCCTCCTACTCCTATCAGGACCAAAGGCTTCACCCTAGGCACAGCCTTGAGAGTCGAGCACCAGGGTTGCAGTAAGACTGCAACCTCATGTTGATAGACGACGCTGTAGTTTGGGATGGGGTTCTTGATTCAGGATAGCCTCCTTGCCGTTGAGGTACGCCTCCTTGCTTGCCACACACTATAGTAGCCGTAGGAAGAGTAGTAGTCCGGGTAGTATCCATTTCCATTTCCATACCCACAATTGTACGACGAGTAGTAGTCGGGGTAGTAGCCGTTGCCGTTGCCACCACCATATGACGAGTAGTAATCAGGGTAGTAGTCGTTGCCGTGACCGTAGTAGTCGTCGGAGTCGCCTCCATAGCTCTTATAGCTGTGGCTGTAGCCGCTACCATAGCCCTTGTAGTCGTCGCCGCTAACGTATCCGTATCCGTTGTGCTTGTAGTCGTTGTGCTTATAATCATCGTGGCCGTAGCTATCGCGGCCACAGTCATCGTGACCATAGTCATCATGGCCATAGCCCTGGTGGTCGTGCCCGTGACCATAATCGCCTTTGCCGTAGCTGTAGTCCGAAGACTCGGTAGCCTTGGTGTCCTTATAATCGGTAGCCTTGGTGTCCTTATCTTCGAGGCGGCGACGGTAGTAGCGCGAGTGGTCCTTCTTGTCGTGGTGGTGGTGTTTCTTGCGGTCGTGGTCGTGCTTGTGCTGGCTGTGGCCGTAGTCCTTGTAAGACCCGAGTTGACGACGTGGGGGCATTCTATTAGCAGCGTCAGTCGCATGCAGAATAGAAGCAGCGACACACAGGCCCACTATGGCGACAAATTTGGAGTGCATCTTGTTGGGCAGTTGCAAAACTAGTTGATGGAGCTGGAGGTTGGTTGTCGAGTGTCAGGGAGGAAGCGAGATGACAAGTGAGAGAGCGAGGAGGCTAGTCCGATCGAGCTGCGGTCTGGGCGTTGATGTTGCATCAGCCATCGTGGTCACCCCTCGTCGTGGCATTGTTTTTCTTCGCTCGCTGTGATTGATCGAGAAGACGATGAGAGAGAAGCGTTGAGAGAATGAGTCGAGTCAACAATAAGTGATAGACTGCAAACTGTAGTTATGCAGACATCACGGGACTAGGAGAAGTATATTAGACGTATTTTGAGAATGCAGGATCCCGCGAATACTTACCCAATCTAATACTTCGAGGTACTATTATTGCAACAACAAAAACAACAGCGGCCACTTGTATTAGTTTGTCAGCAATTTTTGGACTACTACATCAACTCCACTTCCATTCCTTCAGTGACTTCTACTACTACTACTACTACTACTACTACGACGACGACGTGGCACAACAGCTACTACTACCGCCACTTCCGCTACTACTACTACTACGGGCTACTGGCCACTACTACAGGGCCACTACTACTACTACGACTACTACTACTACTCCAACAACGGCAGCTTTGTCCGGTAGGTTCTCTTCGTACACGACTTCCCCTTAGCAAGCACTGCCTAAAAGAGGGAGAATGGAATGGACTGGAGGGGGCTTAACTTGGGTATTGACACCAAGGTTTGTTTTGCAAACT